GAAAATCACTTAAGCCCAAGAGTTGGAGGTTGCTGTGAGCTGTGACGACACAGCACTCTACTAAGGGCAACAAAGTGAGACTCTGTCTTAAAAAAAACAAAAAAATGTTCCATATATAAAGTCCTCAATGTATGTACCTGCTGCTAATCAATTCTCCTCTTAAGGCTCTCCATGAATCACAGAAACTGTAAACAGGTGTTTGACATTAGGTCTCAGCCATCTCCAGACCACAGAAGCCCTAAAAGATATGACAAAGAGAGGAATGTCCTAGAACTGTGTCTCTCCAGTCTAGGGACACTTGTTTCCCAATTCCAAAGTTTACCTACCCCACCTCCTGTGCCCAACAGTACACACACAGCATATTATAACATTTAAAAGGCTCCAATTTTTTAAAAATATTAGATATTAGCAGCACTCAGGGATGTATGCTAATTATTGAGGACTGTTCACTTATCTATAGTGTCAGATACCATGAAAAGTATGCATGGGCCTTTTTTTATTTTTTGCTCAACAGCTTTTGGTAGAGACAATTCTCCCACTGTGTGACAGAAAAGAAGAAAGGACACCCCTGGAGGGTATTTTCTACAAATGAAAACATGGATCTTTAACATGACTAATCTAACAAGTACTATTTCCCCTACCTGATATCACTTTATATTCTCTTGACAAGTCTAAGAGGCAGAAAGTTTATAAACAGACTGGGTGTGGTGGCCCATGCCTGCAATCCTAGCACTCTAGGAAGCCGAGGCAGGGGATCCCTTGAGCTCACAACTTCAAGACCAGCCTGAACAAGAGTGAGACTCCATCTCTATGAACAATGAAAAACTGAGGCAAGAGGATCACATGGGCCCAAGAGTTTGAAGTTGCTGTGAGCTATGACACCATAGCACTCTAACAAGGGCAACAAAGTGAGACTCTGCCTCAAAAAAAAAAAGTTTATAAATTGAAAAAAGGATGCCCTACAACATGGTAAACTAGCTTTCAGACAAGATAGCCCCATGGGAAATGAAACAGGGGGCCAAGGTCTTTATTTGCTGCTTGCTCTCAGCAACATATTAAAAATGTAAACTTGTTCGTCTATCAAAGGATGTAAAAGAGAAACAGAGAACTATAAACCAAATATTGAATTTATAAAAATATATTCAACTCTCATCAATGCAATACACAATTATAATATAAGAGGCCAGGACAGTCTGTCACAAGGAAAGAATTTTCACAACCCAAGATTGGTAATGCATGCAATGAGGCTTTAATGTCACAATATAATCACCAACAATGATTTAAACCCAAGATCAGATGTTAGAAAATTCTTTTGTAATTAAGCATAAGTTGCTTTTTTCTTTTTGCAGTTTTTTTTTTTTTTTTTTGGCCGAGGGCTGGGTTTGAACCACCACCTCCAGCATATGGGGCCAGCACCCTACTCCTTAGAGCCACAGGCACCACCCATAAGTTGCTTTTATAGTACAGTTTAGCCAGGCTTGGTGGCTCCTGCATATAATCCCAACATTTGGGAAGGCCAAGTCAGGAGGATTGCTTGAGGCTGAAAGTTTAAGATCAGCCTGGGAAACACAGCGAGATGACATCTCTCCAAAAAGTGGTTAGCATGCCAGTAGTACTAGCTACTCAAGAGGATGAGACAGGAGGACTGCTTGAGCCCAGGAGTTCAAGGTTACAGAGAGCTATGATCATGCCACTGCACTCTAGCCTCGGTGAGAGAAAAAGACTCTGTCTCTAATTTTTTTTTAAATTTTTTTCAAATAAAAGCAAAATAAAAATTAATTAATCAAAAACTTCCAATCAAGGCCGGGCGAGGTAGTTCACACCTATAATCCCAGCACTCTGGGAGGCCACGCTGGGTGGACTGCCTGAGCTCATGAGTTCCACACAGTCTGAGCAAGAGAGAGACCCACAACTCTAAAAATAGCCAGGCATCGTGATGGGCACCTATATTCCCAGCTACTGGGGAGGCTGAGGCAAGAGCATCACTTGAGCCCAAGAGTTTGAGGTTACGATGAGCTAAAGATGCCACAGCACTCTACCAAGGGTGACCAAGTAAGAGTCTGTCTCAACAACAAAACCTTCCAATCAGTAAATAAGAAGTAAAGTGAAGTTTAAACAAATTTCCAGATAGAATTCTAGCAATTTCCATATGTTCACCTTACTGAAGAGACAGCCAATTCTAGAATGTCCATACATTCACCTACCCGAGAGATAGACATAGATTTCACTAGATTCCTAAACGGGCCTACAGCTTATCAAAGGATCTACTACTTTGTTATTTGCTACAAAAAAAATTTACTATACTGCTAATCTCATCACTTTTGTAACTTCAGTACATTATGAAAGCAATTTTTTTTTAGAATCCAGAGTTAACTTGCGCACTGCAAAACCATTTTTAAACCAATATCAAAAAGTTTTACAAAACACGTCCTTTGATAAAAGGCTTACAAACTAAGACCTTAGTCTTCACTGTGTCATCTGTTCCTCCTATGCCCACAAGACTGGTGGTTTTCTGATTTGAAAATAATACTTGCAAGGAATAGACAACTTCTGGATATACAAAAAAAATTTAATAGACATTGTCCCTTAATTTTGGGAAGGAAGAGGAGAACAGAGAAACTTTTACTTCTATTACACACTTCTCTGCATTAGTTTGAAGGGTTTTTTAAAATCGTAACTATGCATCCATTTTTGGTTTAAAATACTTTATCGCTTGCATTATTATTTTTTCTTTAATAAATAATTTATATGGCTCAGCGCCTGTAGCTCAAGCAACTAGGGTGCCAGTCACATACACCGAAGGTGGAGGGTTCAAGCCCAGGCCGGGCCTGCCAAACAACAATGACAGCTACAACCAAAAAATAGCCGGGCATCATGGCAGGCGCCTGTAGTCCCAGCTACTCAGGACACTGAGGCAAGAGAATCGCTTAAGCCCAAGAGTTGGAGGTTGCTGTGAACTGTGATGCCACAGCACTAAGAGTGACATAGTAAGACTCTATCTAAAAAAAATAAATAAATAAATTATAAAAGAGTTTGTTTTTTAAATGCATGGTAGGGACAGACTGGCTCTCTTTTTGTCATTGTTTCAATTGTACTTTATCACAATTAGACACTGAATAATCTATACAATATCATCTCTGTAGTATTCATTGAAACTTGCTTTATGGACTACCAAGTTATCCATTTTTATTAAATTTCCAATTATGCTTGGAAAAAATATACCCTCTTTAACCATTGGGAACAGAGTTACATACATGTCCATTAAACCAATCTTACTACTGTGTTGTTCAAATCTTCTACAGTTTATACCTGCCTGATCTTAATGCTTTGAGAGATGGGAACATCTCCAACTAAAACTACGGCTTTGTTCATTCCTCCTTATAATACTTTGAGTTTTTGTTTTATGTTCTGAGACTATGTTATTTAGATTCAGGCTTCTTACATCTCCCAAAAGAACTATTCCTTTATCTTTATGTACTGATTTCTTCATTTATTCCCTTAAGTCTTTTTTCCCCAGTATTTACATTATTTTACCAGCTCTATTTCAGTTAGTACTTTTCTACCAGAGTTTCATCAGATAAGCAAAACTACTGTTAAGGCTCATGCCTGTAATCCTAGCACTCTGGGAGGCTGAGGGTGAAGGACTGCGTAAGTTCAGGAGTTCAAAACCAGCCTGAGCAAGAGCCAGAGCAAGACCCTGTCTCCACTAAAAATAGAAAAACCAGCAAGGTGTTGTGGTGGGTACCTGCAGCTACTCAGAAGGCTGAGGCAAGAGGATGGCTTAAGCCCAACAATTTGAGGTTGCCATGAGCAATGCCACAGCGCTCTACCCAGGGCAGCAGAGTGAGACCCTTTCTCAAGAGAGGAAAAAAAACCTACTATTAATATGAGTGATAAGAATAAGGATATGGAGATTCAACAGGCAATTACGGGAGCTAAGCAGTTTATGTAGAATTGTTGCTTCTGTATCTAGTTATGGGACAGAAATCAAAGGGCAGACAATAGGGAAGGGAAGACAAATGTAAAGTGGAGAAGAGCAAAACAAACTGGAACTCACAATTATTTTTCAACAACCTGTGAGAGGGAAACTATAGTATAAGCTGGCACTCACATGTCTGATGTAGAATTTGAAGAGACTCGGCTCCGCGCCTGTAGCTCAAGCGGCTAAGGCGCCAGCCACATACACCTAAGGTGGCAGGTTCGAATCCAGCCTGGACCCGCCAAACAACAATAATGGCTGCAACCAAAAAATAGCCTGGCATTGTAGCGGGCGCCTGTGGTCCCAGCCACTTGGGAGGCTGAGGCAGGAGACTCGCTTGAGCCCAGGAGTTGGAGGTTGCTATGAGCAGTGAAGCTATAGCACTCTACCCAGGGGAACAGCTTGAGGCTCTGTCTCAAAAAAAAAAAAAAAAAGAATTTGAAGAGACTAAAGAGAAACATCCAGCAGGAGCTGGAGCAGTGTAAGCCAAAGGCCAACACAGCCCACCAGCGGAAATCAGTGACAGGCTATGTAAGTTACAACAGGCTAGACCCTACACCAACCTGCTGAGCACAAACACAACTGCTGCTTCACTTGCACCTTTCAAATTATGTGCAAATTTCTCTTACGGCAGACAAAATCTGAAACTACCTTAGGAAAGGAATTCTGAGAAAAGTCATTTCAGCTCAGTTATGCTGACACAATATACAAAGCACCATCACAATTTACATGGACAGTCTCTTCCACCTCTTTAATTGTATTCTTTCTATACAATTATGTTTTATATATGTCTTTTATAAATAAGCAGACGGTTTGATTTTTTTCTATGCTATCTAAGGCTCTATCTTTTAACTATCATGTTTAATCCATTTACATTTATTGGGATTTATAGCATACATAATTTTAAAAATTATTTTTTAAATGACATGAATAGCTGACCTGAAAACAGATGCAGGATTTGCATATCTGAAGTATTTTATACGTATAACTGAAGTGTATAAAAGTGGTAAGCGTTACTTACCACTTCTCCAGCAGAGGCAGCCAACATATGCTTCACAGGCATCAAATATGAAGAAGAATCCGTATGCAAAAACCATTTCACATATTCGTAGGTGATAAAAAATGCAGCAGCTGAAATTTAAAACAAGCCAGTCTTTCACAAAGTTAAAATATATATTTAAACTTAATTAAGGAATACATCTCATAAAAGTATGACAATAATTACTAAATTATGATACAATAAAGATGACAGTCAAACACATACCTTTTCTTTCACCCTCACTCTTTCAGAATTTACTGAGGCCATGTCTGATCCTGGACTTACAAAAATGCAGAAAATATTATTCCTACCCTGAGGGAGTCTAACAGCTAACTTAGAATTTACCATATTGTATTGACAAATTACTTAGCATTTTTTAAGACAACTTCAGAAAAAGATACGGGTTTCTGTGATTCAAAATATCATCACATACAGTCATAAAACAATCAGCTACACTGATTTACTGACAGGATAAAATTATAAACATACACCTTAATTTAAATAAAATGTCTATTCTAATATGTAATGTTTTATTGCTGGTTACTCAAAATAAGCATGGCTACATTTTACTACATCAATTCACCTGTACATCAAGGAAACAATAAACCATTTAATTGAAACTGGAAATCAAAATCTCCAAAAAGCTACTCCTATCACCATGAACTAATCACAGTGCATGAGGACTTTAAAACTTGTCAGGTACTGTTAATCAAAAGATATTTATCAGTTCCATAAAAGATAATGCGCAAAAGGAATGACAAATTCACCTCTTGAAGGACATTTGAGCATGTCACAGTAAAGTATGAAATAGGAAAACAGCTTGACAGTGGAAGTCAGTTCTCCAAAGTCAGCAAACTCGTAAAGGATCCTGAGGCTACTGCATATCAGCACCAGGCCAAATGAGCAGGCATGCTGTCCACAGATGAGCATACATACCCGTTCAGGCAGTTTTATACAGTTAACACAGGTCTACTGCCACCGTGGTTCTTCATAAGGCTTTTCCCACTTTGGCCTACTCGATAAATGTGCAGCCATACCATCTGCACACAGCATTCAGCTGTTAAGTTGTGCCGCTACACATCCCATCCCCTGCCCTCCGCCCTCCTACTCCCTCTGAAATAAATGGAGAAAGACAGTGTTCAAACTTCATTTACTTCATGGTTAACCTTCTCAAGCTTGTCCAACTTTATGCTACTTTTGTGATGTACAAAGTCCTTTAAAAATGTAAGTTCCAAACCTCCCCCTGATCCCTAAGTGGATCCAAGAAGGCCTCTACATAATTGGAAATGTGGGCAAATATGGGAACCCACGCCCCTCTCCTACACTCACAACTATGCCTAGCATGAGTGTATACCCAGTGACAACTTGTTACAACCAATTATTCAAAGTACTAAGACATACAAAAGTTTAAGGATAACCCCCAGTTTACTGTTCTAATGATTGCTTAGGGAGGAGGAAAGGAAAACAAAAGCACGGAAACACTACTCTTCTCTCTGCACTACAAATCTTTATGTTAAAGCTGTGCTCAAAGATTGGGCATTTAAATGTGAGGATGACATAGGAGAAAGAATTTATCCTGAGAAAAAAGAAAGCATACCCCCAAATTTAAGAACCTCCTCGAGCAGTGGTTTTATGGGTATGTTTTGTGTCTGGTGATTTTTTGTTTGTTGCCTTAGTTTACTTTTGAGTGCAACTAAAAGCATCCATCAGTAAACTACAATAAGTACCTGAAAAGAAGTATACCAAAAGTGGATTAAACAAAACCATTTAGGCTGGGCACCTGGGTCACACCTGTTATCTATGGGAGGCCAAGGTGAAAGAATCACTGGAGCTCAGGAGGTCAAGACCACCCTATGCAAAGAGTAAGACCCCATCTCTACTAAAAATAGAAAAATTAACTGGGTACAGTGGTGTGCACCTGCAGACCAAGCTACACAGGAGACTGAGGCTGGAGGACTGTTTGAGCCCAGGAGATTGACACCACTGCACTCTAGCCTGGACAAGAAGTGAGACCCTGCCTCAAAAAAAAAAAAAAACAACCAGATCATGTTGAGTATAGAATAAGAGAGACGTAAGTCGTATAACATGACTTCAGAACCAAAACAGAAGACCCTGGCAAGAAAGTATCCAGGAGAACATTCATAAGAAACACTTATTATCAGACCAGAGCAATCTAAGAGTTATTTAATCTAAGAGCATCTTAAGATAGAAACATTCAATGCCTCTCTGTTTTACCTGCTCCACAAGACTCTCCAAGGCAGTTATCAAACCTGGCTTCACATAGGAATCACTTTGGAAGCTATTAAAGGCCCTGATACCCTGGCAAAGCAAAGTAAATTTCTAGGGAAGACAAACAGGTATCAGTATTTTTTTTAAAGCTTCCCAAGAGATTCCAGTGTGCGGATAAGGTTGAGAACCACCGCTCTAAAGGGTCTCATAATCATAACCAATGTTAAAATAACACTTTCAGGATTCCAAGCAGGAATATTTTTAAACAACAAAAACCATTTTGCTTATTTTTTTCCATTAAAAATAGACTAAAATGGACACTATATTACCATCTGATTCCCAAACACTGTGTTAAAAAATGGAAAAATTCAAGATGAGTTATAACACATAAGGAATTTGATTGGGTAAGAGCACATACCATTCTGACAATAAACCTCATTATCTTGGCTTAGAGCAGTGAGAATATCAATATGATTTTTACCATTAGGAAAGGATCCAATAGCAGCAGAAGGAACACCAGCATATATTCCATGAAAACCACCAGCCTTATTAAATCCTTGGGGACTCTGCAGCCTGGTCTTAATGGTATCCAGAGGAAATAATATCAAGTCAACAGAAACACCTGCTATCCCACCAGCCTTTAAAAAGACAGAGAGAGAAAAAGAAAAAAAAAGTTACAATAAACTAAGCTCTCTGCCATTTGGAGGCAGGTAGTCTGAAAAGCATGTTTCTCATTACTTGCAGTCCACGGACTTCTTTGGCACAAATGAGTATCAATCTAATATTCCTAGAAGATTTTCCTGGGAAAATAACCATTACTATGCTACATTTTCAAATTGTAAATTTTATATTAAAATTTTCTTTCTTTTTTTTTTTTTTTTTATGTAGAGACAGAGTCTCACTTTATTGCCCTCGGTAGAGTGCCATTGTATCACAGCTCACAGCAACCTCCAACTCCTGAGCTTAGGTGATCCTCTTACCTCAGCCTGCCAAGTAGCTGGGACTACAGGCGCCTGCCACAACGCTAGGATATTTTCTGTTGCAGTTTTGGCCGAGTTTGAACCCACCACCCTTGGTATATGGGCCCAGTGCCCTACTCACTGAGCCACAGGCACCACCCTTAATTTTCTTTTTAAATACATTTATTTTTAAAACGAACTTCAAATTCTTTTTTGTTTTCTTTTTGAGACAGAGTCTCAAGCTTTCACCCTCAATAGAGTGCTGTGGCGTCACAACTCACAGCAACTTCCAACTCCTGAGCTTAGGTGATTCTCTTGTCTCAGTCTCCCGAGTAACTGGGACTATAGGCGCCTGCCACAACACCCAGCTATTTTTTTGTTGCAGTTTGGCCGAGGCTGGGTTTGAAACCGGCACCCTACTCACTGCACCACAGGTGCTGCCCTAAAAACCATTTTTTAAAAAGACAACCAGAAAACACCTCATAAAGGTAGAGTTCAAAGTCTCCTTCCCATCCCTGCTCCTGGTAACTTAGCAATCACTTTTGTAAGTTTCTTGTTGTAGCCTTCCAAAATTACTTTGGACATACACAATCAAATATGAATATCTATTTTATTTTCCTTTTCTTTAAAAGTGAAAGATAGTGTATACTATGCACCATTCTGCGCTTTTTCTCATTTAACAATTCCTCTTGGTGATAGGAATCACTTTGGAAGCTATTAAAGGCCCTGATACCCTGGCAAAGCAAAGTAAATTTCTAGGGAAGACAAACAGGTATTAGTATTTTTTTTAAAGCTTCCCAAGAGATTCCAGTGTGCCGATAAGGTTGAGAACCACCGCTCCAAAGGTTCTCATAATCATAATCAATGTTAGACCAAATGTCAGACCAAATGTTCTAGTTTTGTCTTTTTAAATCACTAATCAGTAAATCCTCTTTGACTTTGAGACTTGAATTATGAAACACCAAGCCTTGTGAATCTAAATTTGTATTTTAAGAATTGCAGCTCTAAGGGTTCATATAGTATTCTCTCTACCTTGTATATATTTGAAAATTCCTTGGTAATTTTTAAATTGAGTAATTAAATGGTTTTTGTTTTTTTTTTTTTTTTTTTGAGACAGGGTCTCAAGCTGTCACCCTAGGTAGAGTGCCATAGCGTCATAGCTCACAGCAATCTCAAACTCTTGGGCTCAAGTGAGTCTCTTGCCTCAGCCTCCCTAGTAGCTGGGACTACAGGCGCCTGCCACAATGCCCAGCTATTTGTTTGTTTAGCAGGGCCAGGCTGGGTTCAAACCCACCAGCTCCGGAGCATGTGGCCGGCACTCTAACTACTGAGCTATGGGCACCCCCCATATAAATGGATTATTTTTTAAAGATCTAAGTTGCTAAAGGAAATTAAAACCTAGCCCAAACTGCTCATCTCTCAAGAGACACCACATTGCTTTGGAGAAGCCATACTGTAAAAACTGATTAAGACTACTTCGTGCCATATGATTATAGTGAAGCATATGCAGAATGTTTTAAAACTGGATACACCTTAGTGAAGAAACAATTCAGGCATAAAAACAAAATATGTAAGCAAAATGTGTACCCCCTAATATTCTAATATAAACTTTTTTTAAATCAGAGAAAGAGAAAAAATTTCAGAAAAATATGAACATAAAGATAACATCAAAGGTTAACATACAAGATCTAAAGGCATCATTTATAAAAAGAAATCAACCAAACTCAGTAAACAGATGGAAGGACCTCTATAAAGAGAAAACTCTCGGCTCGACACCTATAGCTCAACCGGCTAAGGCGCCAGCCATGTACACCTAAGGCGGCGGGTTCGAATCCCCAGCCCGGACCCGCCAAACAACAATGATGGCTGCAACCAAAAAATAGCCGGGCGTTGTGGCGGGCGCCTGTGGTCCCAGCTACTTGGGAGGCAGAGGCAGGAGACTCGCTTGAGCCCAGGAGTTGGAGGTTGCTGTGAGCTGTAATGCCACGACACTCTACCCAGGGGGACAGCTTGAGGCTCTGTCTCAAAAAAAAAAAAAAAAAAAGAGAAAACTCTCAATGTGTTTCCTAAGTAACTTTTTAACCAAATTGCTAATTTTTCCTCTATTTTGAATTCTGAACCATGTGAACATATTACCTATTTAAAAAGTAAATATATACTTTTTTTACTTGTATTTACTTATTTTAGTAAACATATAGTTTTAAAACCTATACATTTCATGACACAGAAAAATAAGAATCAGTATTATTCAAATACACAGGTAAAGTTCAAACTGATCAATTGTTTCTATCCTTTAAGTTTACAAAATGTTCAGGCACTACAAAGCTTGGCACTTAGCACATACTATCTACTTTTCTTGCAATTTACAAAAAAAAAAAACACTGAGAAAATGAAATATTGTGATGAGAAATCCAATAATGCCTCTTTTTAAATTAACTAGTATAAGTAAATTATTAAAAATTAGTTTATACTAGAAAAGTACATTACTATAAATATTAATACATACTATATGAAAGAAGTCCAAAGACCATGAAGGTGCACTCTGAAAACAACCCAAAAGATGTCACCAAAAGAGCATAGAGGTGTGCTGGCAGAGAGTACAAGGGGTACTGAAAGAATAACCTATAATGTGGGATTTCTTTCTGGATATAAAGGTGGCCTAAGTCATGGGAAAAAGTTCACAAGTAATGTGATGAAAAGCCAAATTTTTTGGCATTCTTCTCTATTGCATGAGTATTTTTATAAATGCAGCAAGTAGAGCCAGGCACAGTGGCAGACACCTGAATACCCACTGTGCTCCTAACTGGGTAGTACAGTGACATTCCATCTCTAAAAATAACAATAATTTAGTAAGCAAAATATTTTTCCTAACTCTTCATGTTCTCACAACACAGAGAGAATAAAAATCCTGATGAGAAAGTCTGACGTGACTCAATTCTTTAAAAACACGCTGCACTTCACTCTAATTTTCTCTTTAATCTTAGGAGAAGGTTCAGAGAAGTGCTTGCTATCTCCTGCTAAATTTCAATCAATAAGTTAAGTACTCTTTTAATCTAGTTGCTACCTTACATGCATTGATTCTCTAACCCTTTTCATCACAGTTCTTATCTTCCGAGAATAAAATGACCAGACTCTACTTATCCAGTAAAACACGAATGAAAAGTTACTAATTGCTTCTGTGGATTTCAAACTTCTATCACTCAAAATGTCGTTTAAATTCATGAGACTAAAAAAAAAATCAGCTAACAGAGAACATGAAGAATAAGAATAGCTACATATTTAGTCACATTTAAGATTTAAACTAAAACTTTAAAGAATGTTTATAATTTTACATCAATATTGTTTTGTATATAATTATGTATAAAACAGACAAACCAACATCAATGAAATTATAAAAATATCTATCAAATTATTTTGTCATTTAGCCTGACATTTTTATTTTGTTACAATCATTTTATCAAAAAGATTATCAGGCAAAAGATTAGTTTCAAGATTCATGGTAGCTTACATTGAAAAATTCTAAGAACTCAACAAAATCCAAAAAAATTGGACATAACCCAGATAACCAACAAGCCTTGCTACAGTGTCACGATTTGAGACCTCTGTATCTTATAGATAAAGCACACGTCTCTACCTTAAGTTAATAAATATACAAAGTGCTAGCAGGCTGTAGAGAGGAAGTGCCTAATTAGTGCTCTGAGAATTGAAAAGATCAGAATTACATGCTATAAAAACTTTATTCTCAAAAGGAGCCAGGCATGGGCAGTACCTTTGGCTCAAGGAGTGGGCACCAGCCCCATATACCAGAAGTGGAGGGTTCAAACCCGGCGCTGGCCAAAAACTGCAAAAAACAAAATGAAAAAAAAGAGGAGCCAGGCACAATAGCAGCAGCAGAAAAAGGCATTGCTACTCAACTCCAAGACCAAATAAATAAATTAATTAAATAACCTGTGCGATTTACCTAACCAAAATCAACACAGACCACTGGTCTAAACGACAGCTAGGAACCAGCCATAATAGCCAAGTGTTGTGGTGGGCACCTGTAGTCCCAGATACTCAGAAGGCTGAGGCAAGAGAATCACTTGAGCCCCAGAGTTTGAGGTTGCTGTGAGCTATGATGCCACAGCATTCTATTGAAGGTGACAAAGTGAGACTCTGTCTCAACAAAAAAGAAAGAAAGAAAGAAGAACCAGCCATATCATGAACATGGCTTTACAGGGGAAACATTTCCTCCCTGACATGTTTGGTTTCCTCCACAATGAAATGGCAACTGGTGATTTGGCCCTCACTTTCTGGCATCCTTGTTTCCTTCCCCATTAGCCATTCATTCTCTCTACAGCACCTTGCCCCCCCTACACTAACAGCTGAGTTACTAATCTCTTGCCACTGGCTAGCCTATAAATCTTCCAAACTTTTAAACAGCCCTGAGGATGAAGAACAAAATCCTAGCACAGCCTTCTAGGTTCTGGAAATTCTGGAGCCCATCAACTCCTTCACCCCAAACTCCCACTATTTGCCCTCTGCTCAGGTGCCTTCTTACTACCTGGATCTCACTTTTCCCCCATTCACTTTATCTTCCTCATTTCAGGACTTTGTACAGATGCTCCCTAAACCCTAGTTCAGGTTTAGATCCACATGTTGTTTCCAAGTACTGAACAAAATCTTAAGTATATGATTAG